TTTGTATTAGCCAATAGAGAAAATTTTCAATTGTGACATCAATTGTTGCCATGTTTTATCATGCCAGAAAACCGCTCTTGGTCACGTGACAAAGTGCATGAAAATGCGTGATTTGTGTGTTTCCATGCATTTCTATGGGAATGAAAACGTACCAGCTTCGGGCATTCTGCTTCAGTCAACTTGGAGTCGAGATGTGAACCATCTCTAGAGTAATATTGACTTTTTTTTTCTCTCCGAATGTTTTGGAACTAAGGTGTCCGTTTATGACACAGAGAATAGCTGCGATTCAACAGATCTCAGCTATTCTCTGGTCATTCACAGTTTATGACACTCAGGAGATCATGTCAGCCCTTCTCTGGAGATCTGTGTTCTCCCTCCAGATTCTCCAGCCCAGAGCTGGAGAATCAGAGGGACCGAAAACTAAGCAGAGAAAATTTACCTCTGCTTAGTAAACTGATCTTTTACTGTAATCTCGCGAGATTATAGTAAAATGAGCCATTTTTCAGAGTTTGTAGACCGTTCTCCAGCGTTTGGAGACCGTTCTCCCTTCGTTTGGAGAACTGCTTCATAAACTGCATTCACAGGAGAACTGTGTTCTCCGAGAATGCCGGAGAACTGAGCAGCGATCTATTACTGCTGGTTCATAAACGGACACCTAAGCGCTACAAAACGCTCAGGTGCAAATGGGGTCTTGTTTGTTTTCTATTTTTTTTTTTATTTGTCTACTGATTCACCACCAAGTTCCAAGTATCAGCTACGCTTTTGATAAAAATAATTCTTTCTAAAGTTAGTTTTGTACTTTCCTCCTGCTAGTTTGAGGTCACTCGGTTGTGTTCTGATAATTATTCACATAGTCAAAGTGACACTTAACTCTGGTTTAAAAAAAATAGTTTATTTTTAATTTTCTGGTGTCATCCGACTTCATTTTATCATTTTAGCTCTATCTGTGGGGAAAAAAAGGACATAAATTTAATTTGGGTGCAGTGCTGCATGACTGCGCAATTGTCAAAGTAACGCAACGCCGTATTGCAAAAAAATTACCTGATCAGGAAGCAGGGTAAATCCTCTGGAGGGCAAGTGGTTAAAGCTCTTTTACTGCTTGTTAAGTATATGTAAATTCTTTAGACCTTTCAGAAATGCAGAAGCCCTTGCCGCCCCTCTGCTTTGCAGAGAGCAGTTAACTGGCTGCTGGGAAATTATGAACCACTGTAAGGAATTAGAAAAATGATTATACTGTATTTAACTAACACAAAAGACAAACATTTAGAAGAAAGACACTCAAGAAACTATATATTTATTTTAAGCCATGGCTGAATATCCTTTTTATTTTAAGTCTTCCCACCTTTTTACCCACACACCATCAAGCAATTTTACAAAAGTCAGTTCATGAATATTTCCCCAAGTATTATAAAAAAGAAGGATTTAAATGCAGTCCTTTGATTTCATGTTAGCCATAACAATCCCAAAAACAGCAGCAAACTTTTGTCCTAATAGGAGTATAATTGTTTCAAAGTTGGCTTTAAAGCACCACTGAACATATGGATGGAAGCTGCAGTACGCAGGAGGACCATTAAACAGCGTTTATCCTATTTCTATTCAAGGGAGTTTCCCAGGCCAAATAAAAAAGCCAACTCATGTTTCACACTTCTTGTCTAGGTAATATGAAGGGTCCCCATCGCCCTTTTAAAGTAACCATGTGACTTTAGCAAGCTAATAAAAAGTAAGCCATACCTGTAAAAGAACTGTGTAAAATCTTTCCTGCTGCCCACTTCCATAAACTGTACTCCAATCCCTAGAATTATTTTGTCAAAGTCTGCAGGGGAACCAACATTTCTGAGAGTATCTATCTCTGTGGTCCTCTGCAGCACTCACCTTTTCCTCCCTCTGACCTCAAACAAGTGAGAGCAGTGATAGACCATAGGGATCATCTCTCACGGAGGTGTCTTTCACTTACGAACTTTAGCAAAATATTTCCAAGGATTGGAGTGGACTTTGGTGACGTGGTAACAGGAGAGTATTACAGTGTCCGCTTACATTTATAGATTCATTTTAAAAGCTTACTATAACAGGGTTAAAGTATATCTAAACTTCGAACACCTTTCCACAAATCAACTCTAAAGTACATGTTAAACTTTCATAATTTACCTTTTTTAAAATGTCTAAATACCTGGTGAATTTGTCAGTCTTTCTTGTGCCCTGACTACACCAGCTGGCAGAATACAATAGTCACAGCTGGGATTTATCCATCTGTACTGTATAGCATGGATGGAGAAATCTAAGTAAGGCCAGCCTAAGTGCTAGATGTTGGCACACCTATGGTAATTTGAAAGCACCCTATGCGGGGTAGGACCACCAGCCCTGCCCATCTCAGCAACTATGCTGCAAAGCTGTTGCAGTCAGAAAAGAAAAAAACTGGCTTATTTTAAAGAACAGTAATCGGATTTGCTTAGGTGATTGTGAATGACTTCACTTTAAAGTAACAGCAGAATCTTCTTCCTACTGTTTCTATTTAAGTGCTAGTATACCTACAGCACACCATTAGATATATAGAAATAAGGTGCAATATCGGGTATCTCTTGTATAGTAGAACACCACAGGAAATTGGTAATTGTAATTGTTGCCTCTAGTTCTGTAGTAAGGGAGAAGAAGCAGCAGCAGGGTTGCACAATGATTTGGTCTTCAGCAAAGGTGAAGGTTCTATTTAGCCTGGTAAAGTTGTTTGATGCTTTATCTAGAATTTACTTACAGTTGTGTTCAAAATAATAGCAGTCAGACATCACTAACCTGATCAATCACTGTTTTTGGTAGAAATGATATTTCTACATGGCAAATAATTTACTAGCAGGTGTAGTAGAGTAATAGAAATCCAACAGACCCAACAGTCATGACATGCATGCTGCTGATTCTGTGTAATTGAATCACTCAATTGAAAGGGGCATGTTCAAAATAATAGCAGTGTGGAGTTCTATTAGTGAGGTCATTCATTCTTTGAAAAAACAGGTGGCAATTATTGCCCTTATTTAAGGAAGGAAGGCAGCAAATGTACATGCTGGTTACAGTGCATTTCTTGCTGAAATTCTGAGGAAAATGGGTCGTTCCAGACATTGTTCAGAAGAATAGCGTACCTTGATTAAAAAGGTGATTGGAGAGGGGAAAACATAAATAAGTGCAGAAAATGATAGGCTGTTCAGCTAAAATGATTGCAAATGCTTTAAAATGGCAACCAAAACCTGAAAGATGTGAAAGAAAGCGAAAAACTACCATTCGAAAGGATAGAAGAATAGCCAAAATGGCAAGGACTCAGCCAACAATCAGCTCCAGGAAGTTCAAAGGTGGTCTAAAGTTACCTGTGAGTACTGTTACAATTAGAAGACTCCTATGTGAAGCCAAGCTATCTGCAAGAAGCCCCCGCAAAGTCCCACTGTTGAAAATAAAGACATGCTGAAGAGGTTACAATTTGCCAAAGAGCACATTGACTGGCCTAAAGAGAAATGGCGCAACATTTTGTAGACTGATGAAAGTAAGATTGTTCTTTTTGGGTCTAGAGGCCAGAGACAGTTTGTCAGACGACCCCCAAACACTGAATTCAAGCCACAGTACACTGTGAAGACAGTGAAGCATGGTTGCGCAAGCATCATGATATGGGGATGTTTCTCATACTACGGTGTTGGGCCTATTTATCGCATACCAGGGATCATGGATTAGTTTGAATACATCAGAATACTTGAAGAGGTCATGCTGCCTTATGCTGAAGGGGAAATGCCCTTGAAATGGGTGTTCCAACAAGACAACGACCCCAAACACACCAGTAAACGTGCAACATCTTGGTTCCAGACCCACAAGATTGACGTTATGGAGTGGCCAGCCCAATCCCCGGATCTTAATCCAATAGAAAACTTGTGGGGTGACATCAAAAAATGCAGTTTCTGAGGCAAAACCAAGAAATAGAGAGAACTGTGGAATGTAGTCCAATCATCCTGGGCTGGAATACCTGTTCACAGGTGCCAGAAGTTGGTTGACTCCATGCAACACAGATGTACAGCAGTTCTCAGAAACAGTGCTTATACAACTAAATATTAATTGATTCAAAGGAAAGCAAAATCTTCAAACATTTTTCAGTTTATATAGTGAATGTTTGAGTTTGTAAAGAAGAATACAAACACTGCTATTTTTTTGAACAGTCTAATATTCACTTTTCTTCAATTTGTTTAGAGGAACAACACAAATTTGATATATTTTTCTTCATGTTTTGATTTGGAATAGAATGTGTAGTGTTCCCAATGCATTTGTGTGTATGGAAATAAAAGCTATTAGAAGGATTTTGAGCTTTATTCACTTTTTTCAACACACTGCTATTATTTTGAACACAACTGTATGTGTAGTACCATCAGTAAGATAGTCCAGGACATTATAGTTTATGATGCAAGAATCCTATTACAAAATTTCACACAATTTAGTCACCATAAACCCTGCAATGCCATATATATTTGTAACCTTACTATATTTCCTTTAGGGAGAGCTGGCATTGTTCAGATTTGTGGCTGACTTTGAATGGCACATTACATGTAAACACAAAAATGACCAGTAAATCAAAGGTGACTGCTGTAACAATGCAACGGCTTGCCAGGGCTTTAAATGTCCTACAGTGTATATTGCTAATATGTTTAGGCTGTAAACAATAAACTTTGTTGTTCACATTTGATTTGTTCCTCAAGAAAATCCACAGTTGTTTAAGAAAAACAACCTCCCACCCCATAAAATGTAGTAAGAGAGCAGTGCATCAGTGCAAGTGGGCCAAGTGCAAACTGTCATCACAGACAACCACAAACTCAAGTGACCCAGTTGTCTCAGACAAAAAGGTTAAAAAACAAACAATAAATTAAAAAAAGGGGGCAGGCTAGATCCACTATTTAGTCTTTTTCTGCCTTTACTCTATGTTTTAATGTCCTCTTGCAGGCATGACAAGCAGCAGGACTTCAACAGTAGTTAATACCACATAATTAAAATAAGAAAGTTGGCTCTTTATATCCAAAAAGTTTGAAGTCTCCTTCATATCTCTCATAAAGGCGTCGGATGTCTCTCTTTGATACTTTAGAGAAATACTGTTCCACCTTTGTCTTATTGTAACGTGTGATTCCTGGAGGTATAGGAGGATAGGATACCAGTCTGTCTATACCTGCTTCTTCAGGATATATGGAGCATCTTCCTCAAGAGTCTCATGATGTCCAATCACATTGTAATTAATTTCACAAGGTGCACAAAGTTCTACATATGTTACCCAGTGTATTATATGATCCCCAAACTGGAGATCTAGAAACTTGTGGTTTGGGTCCCCCAAGTATCGTACAAAGTCTTGAAACTGTAGACCTCCTTTGGTCTCTGAGCGATCTTTCCTGTATTTGCGGATGATGACAGGAGCTATGTTGTGCTTGTACCATGGTTCAAAACGAGGGTTATGTACAAATTTATCCTTGTAGGCAGAAATAAGACGTTCAAATGGATCGCGCACAATAAAAAATTTGAAATAGGAGTTCAGTCTGAAATCAGCAAGAAATAAAAAAATAATAATTATTCTATACATTAGCATTAGGCATTATAGTAATATATCAGGTAAATACTATATCGTCAGAGAATTATGCACATTTCCAAAGTGATACCCCAGTTCAACATTTTGGCAGCTTTAAAAAACAAAAAACAGAACCATATTAAAAGAAAATCATCAAAAAAGAAATAAACAGACTACAATCGCTGACTTCTTTCTACTGACTGACTATCATGCCGCTGCTTTGGCTGTACTTCTCCTTTAAGGGAGTAATAATTCCAAAGACCCATTTGCAGCTGACAGCAGGCTGAAGCCCTCTGTTAGCTGACGTCACTCAGCTGGTCCAGGCTGGGGAAAGATCCCGACTTCAAAGTTGGGATCCACCCCAGAGTCTGGAGCGGCACCTGGCTCAGCCTTTCAGCGATGTGCTGAGAGCCTGAGCCAACTTTTCCCTCCCCCTCAACAGGGTAGCACGCCAGTGAGCGCTGATAATGGCAGAGCAGACAGCGGTGGCTGACAATCACCTGTGTCTGCTTAGAGCAGCTGTGAGAATGCATGTGAGGTCATGTGATCGCTGAGTTCTCACACTTAGAGCCGGCGGGAGACTGCTGCTGCATCCACCCAGGGAAGTGTAGCTTAGTAAAAAAAAAAAAAAAAAAAACAAAAAAACAACTTTCTTCAGATTAAGAACTCAAAGTACTGAACTAAAAAAAAAACAAAAAAACCACCATGTCTTGCAAGGCAATAATCTTTTTTTATCAAAATATCTTAAGTAGCATCTGTTATTGTGCAAAGCAACCATATTCATTATGACAGTAATGGGAGGAAGAATGAAAGGGGGCATCTTATTGTTTGCTTGGAGGCGAGTGTGTATGTTTTTTTTTTTGTTGTTTGTAAACAAACTTCTCCTTGTGCGGACATGCAATGCTGTACCCGAACAAAATTTACATTCTTTTTTTACACAAATAGAGCTTTCTTTCCCCGGTATTTGATCACCTGTGCACTTTTTATTTTTCGCGCAATATTTTTTACTTTTGGCTATAAAAAAAAATATATAGTAAACTCAAAATTAGTTATAAATTTAGGCCAAAATGTATTCTGCTACATGTCTTTGGTAAAAAAAATCCCAATAAGTGTATATTGATTGCTTTGTGTGAAAGTTATAGCGTCTACAAACTATGGTATAGATACTGTAATTTACACAGCTTTTACTTTCTGCCTGCCCATCACATTTATTGAGGTGCTAAAATACCAGGATAGTACAAACACCCCAAAATGACCCTTTTCAGAAAGTAGACACCCTAAGCTATCTGCTGAGAGGCATATTGAGTCCATGGGAGGTTTTTTTTTTCCCCCACAAGCTTCTGGAAAATATGACAAAAACATTTTTTTTGTTTACACAAAGTTGTCATTTAAATTTTATTTATTTATTTATTTCAGATACTTATATAGCGCCGTCAATTTACACAGCGCTTTACATATATATATTATACATTCACATCAGTCCCTAACCCTCAAGGAGTGTACAGTCTAAAGTCCCTAACTCACATTCATACATACACATACTTGGGACAATTTAGACAGGAACCAATTAACCTACCAGCATGTCTTTGGAGTGTGGGAGGAAAACCGGAGTACCCGGAGGAAACCCACGCAGTCACAGGGAGAACATGCAAACTCCAGGCAGGATTCAAATGATATATTTCTCACACAAGCAATGGGTATATGTGGAATTACACCCCAAAATGCATTCTGCTACTTCTACTAAGTATGGGGATACCACATGTGTGAGACTTTTTAGGATCCTAGCCACATACAGGAGTCTGAAATCCAATGACCACTTTGAAAGCCTGAAGGTGCATAACTTCCTCACTACCTATCACAGTTTCGGAGGCCCTGAAATGCCAGGATAGCACCAAACCCCTCCAAAATGACACATTTGTGGAACGTAGACACCACAAGGAATTTAAAAAGAGGCATGGTGAGTATTTTTTGCAGATCTCATTTTTTCTCACAAGGTTTTGAGATATAAAAAAGAAAAGAAAAAATGTTTTTGTTTTTTTTTCTTTACGTTCAAAAAACTTGTGGCAACAAACAAGATTGCAAAATACTCACCATGCTTCTGATCAAATTCCTTGGGGTGTCTACTACTTTCCAAAAAGTGGTCATTTGGGGGGGGGGGGGGGGGGTTGGTGCTATCCTGGCATTTCAGGGCCTCCGAAACTGTGATAGGTAATCAGGAAGTATAATGAGGAAATAAAGCCCTTTAAAAGCCTGCAGGTGCTAATTGGATTTTGGGGTCCTGTACTTGGCTAGACTGCCGAAACGTCTCTCACATGTGGTACCCCCATACTCGGGAAAAGTAGCAGAATGTATTTTGGGGAGTCATTCCACATATACCAATGGCATGTGTGGGCAATAAAGCATTTAAGTGACAATTTTGTGTAAAAAAAAAAAAACAAAACTTTTTTTTGTCATTTTCCGAAAACTTGTAAAAAAAACATATTTTTTCTATTGATTCCCCATGCCTCTCAGCAAATAGTTTTGGGTGTCTACTTTCCAAAAAGGCGTCATTTTGGGGGATAGGGGCATTTTATGCCCAGCATTAGAAGTTTATGCCACACATCACTCACTAATCTAACCACCTAAAGATCAAGACTTTTTGTGACAATTTTTGTTCACATGAAAAAAAAAATCAGTATTTTTTGCTAGGAAATTAATTTAAACCCCCAAAAACATTATATATATTTTTTGTCGGTCCTTGTGAATAGTGAATGTACTGGTAGGTGCTGCAATTTTTTATGTTATATAGCACTCGCGCAGTACACTTTTTTTTTTACTTTTAATGCACAAAAGCACAATATATATTGCCCAATTATTTGGTAAAATATAAAAGATGATGGTATGCCGAGTAAATAAATACCAAACATGAAAAAAAAACTGTGCATGCCCCGTGCAATGGCGATTTACAGAGGAGGTCTAGTGTTAGAATTACTGCCCTTGATCTGATGTTCACAGCGATAACTCACATGCATGGGGGGGGGGGGGGGGGGGGGGGGGAGGGCGAGAGTGATTTTTATTTTTTAAAGTTATTTTTTTTTTTAATGCTATCACAGGGAATTCAAATATCCCCTATAATGTCAATTGGCATTGTCATATATTCTTTTTTGAGAAATCTGGGGTCTATCAGACTCTAGATCTCTCCTCTGCCCATACATTATCTAATCAAACCAAGATCGGTGTGATCAGATGCTTTCCCAATTTACAAATGGCGCTGTTTATATCCTGAGAAAATGAAGTGATGAAATGCTCATAGCTTCCGACTTCTTATAGAGAGGATTGGCACCATTCTGGTCTCCAATCAGCTCTGTGGTCAGCTGGCAGAAACACCGGCTGCATTCTCAGGTTCCCTCAATGGCACGGGACTGCCCAAGAAGGCCATGGAAGGCAACGGGGGAAGGGTGATATTGTCTCCCGCTGCTTGTAAAAGCAATCCTGCAGCTAATTAGCCACTATGATTGCTTTTAAATGAAAGCCGATTGCCGGCTGAAACAAACGATAGCAGCATGATGCCTGCAGCTGTAGGCATCATCCTGGTATAACCCATTAAAAGTCCAGTGATGTACCAGTACGTCGCTGGTCCTTGTTGAGTATATATATGCTATGTTCTTTTTTTATTTTTTTGTATGCAGAGTGTGGGCTGAATAAAAAAAAAAAGAAATCTACCGCCCTGCCTACACCCGCTTCTAATGGTGGGCACACATTAGGTCACACTGTACAACATGCGCCAGTTCCAAGATTTTACAAATGTCTAAATAGTGGCACGCTTGAATAAAAATTGTCCACGTATAAGTGGTACCCCATATGAAAAAGGGATGACACCAAGTCCCAAACTATCTTGCCACTGCTCCCCATGTAGTCTGGGCATCCAGGGGGCTCCACGTGACTATCTTTTCCCTCGTAAATCTGAAACTTATAAGTATAGCCTGTTGCCCTCTCACAGGTCTTATACATCTTGACCCCATATCTGGCACGCTTGCTGGGGAGAAATTGTTTGAATGTAATGCGGCCAGAAAAATTAATGAGGGACTCAACGCAGATTTTTTGCTGGAGAGTATAGACCTCTCCAAATTTTTGGTTAAGGGGATTTACAAGGGGCTGAATTTTGTGGAGCCAGTCAAATTCAGGGTCACCTCGAGGATGACATATTGTGTTGTCGTTGAAATGCATAAAACACATTATACTCTCATATCTATGCCTGGCCATGGCAGCAGAGAACACGGCATATGATGAATCGGGTCTGTGGACTAATACAACTGTAATTAAATTTTTTAGTAATGCCCATGTTGAGGGTTAGGCCCAAAAAAAAAAAAATTTACATTCAGAAACCGTAATGAAATTCCATGTGAATGGTCTGGCAAGGTTTGAATTTGGGTTTGCAGTGATAAATTGTTGTGCATATAAATTGCTTTTATCACATTCCGTGAAAAACAGCTCCAAAAATCAATGGGAGTACTTAAATTTGCTGTTTCTGCCTGACTTCCGGGTTGGGCAGTGAATGGGGGAAGTACGGGTGTTGCAGAATTTGTGGGCTACCAATTGGGATTTGCAAGCACATCCGGAAGGATACTAGGGGCTCTATGGGCCTGTGTGCGAATTCTTGGTGGCTGTAGGACAATACTTGTGCTCGCCACTGCACCAGCTTGTACTGCACTTATGGGACTCGCCACATCAGCAAGTGATACTGCAGTGCTGGTATGTGAAAGACCAGGATGTACTAGGCCACTGGTGCTCTCCAGTTCACCAAAAGGTAGCGTGGCACTAGTACTGGCACTCTGCTGCATATTAAAGTCATCAAACAGAGATCAGGCCTGATTCTGCAAACACTGCGGTTTTGTGTGCAATATATCAAGTGACAGTGACCTACTGACACTGCACTTGCTGGGGGTGAAGGGGGTGGGGGGTAATTGTGATTACTGGTGTACTGACGGGCAATCTGACGCTATCTAGGAGGGGCGTAAAAACCATGGGAGCGCAAATCACGTATATATGTGTGATTTTGCACAGCCGTGCCTCTGTAGCAGTATTTCTGCTATAGGGCGGTCAGGAAGCGGTTTGTGTTACAACGCGGTGTTACTTTAACTGACAATTGCGCGGTCATGCAACACTGCACCCAAATTAAATTTACGTCTTTTTCCCCCGTGAATTGAGCTTTCTTTCGGTGGTATTTGATCGCCTGTGCAGTTTTTAGTTTTTTGCGCTATAAAAAACAAGGACCGATAATTTTGAGGAAAAAAAAAAAAAAAACAATAATTTGGACTTTTTCCTATAAAAAATGTCCAGTAAAAAAATTTTAAAATCAAATTTCGTCATAAATTTAGGCCAAAATGTATCTTGCGACATGTCTTTGCTAAAAAAAAAAAATCCAAATACGTGTAAATTAATTGGTTTACATGAAAGCTATAGCGTTTACAAATGGCGGTATATATACTGGAATTTGTTTTTCAAATACTAATATTGGCAGCGATCAGCGACTTATGGCAGGACTGCAGAGGACATTCTGGCACTGGGGGGGAACTGACTTGGGGTCACTGACATCCCCAATGACACCAATACAGTGATCAGTGCAAGAAAAAAAAAAAACCACTGACGCTGTACTAATGGCACTGGGGAGGAAGGGGTTAACATTTGAAGGAAATCAAAGGGTTAACTGTGTGGGGGAGTGTTTCACTAGGCGGCAGGGGGTGTGTGCTTCACAGTAACACACTGATCCGGAAAGCTGAGCCCAGCGATCTGGACCAGTGTGCTCAAACTGACAGGGAGGAGAGCTGCAATGTAAACATTGCCGTGCTCCCTGTCAGTGTTTGCCGGTAATCACAGGGCTCTGGCGGGTAATCACCTGCCGGAGCCCAGGGATTGACACCCGCGATTGCTGGCGCGGGTAGGGCGGTCGCGTGCCTAGCGCGCACCCCCCTAACCGAAATGCAAAATCACGTATATATACGTGATTTTGCGCAGCGGTGCCGCCCTGCCGCAGTAGATGTACTGTGGCTGGTTGGCAAGCGATTAAGAACATGCCTTCTTTAATTAAAGCCCAACTTTGAGTTTCATTAGTCACATACATTGCAGGCGCATAACAAAAAGGCAAAAAGTCTTAGTTCTTCTTCTAAAGCAGCCACAACGTAACGTAAGCAGCCTCTGACATGCCCCCTACTGTGTCAGACCTATAGCTCTGCAATTACTGAGGTTCATGCTCCCCCACTGATTGGAGAAGTCCGGCACTGACTCAGCAGGCGGCATGCCAAACGGATTACTGCTTCCCCACAAAGAGCAAGACGGACACTTTGCAGTGTGCTGGCAGGACACAGGCTTCTCTACTCAGGATGTGGCTAATTTTACACTTGTTTACACCAGAACAAAGCATGGGAAACCAGTGTTCCATGCGCATTTCCCTCACAGCGTTCAAAACGCACTGACTTTGCGATCTCCTGAAGATGCCAATGCAATGCTAACGATAATCCCAAACACTGATGGCAAATGCAGCGTGTCTGTCTGCACTGGATCGGAAGGGACATGCAGTACCATGCAATCTGGTAGTGCATGCACTACTTTTGGTATGATACAGTGCAATTTCAGGCCATTAAAATGAATGGTCCAAAAACACACTGCACTCAAATCGCACAGGAGTGCAGACCACATTCTTGTGCAATTATGGTGTGAACCGGCCCTTAACAGAAAAAAACAAAAACAAAAAAACTGTAAAACGTTGCGCATCTTTAGTTGTGGTGCACCTGGAATGTAGTTAGCCAATTCAAACCAATAGTTCAAAATGCCATGGCATTTTTTATGTGATCATCATGCTATATCCTCTCTCAATTGGCCTATACACATATGGTGGTCATCCATATATGCTACTGATCCTAGTTTCACAAGATGACCAATATAACCAATATGACCATTCAGGCTCCATGTGTGGTCAGTTTATCATGTGCTGGCTACAGAAAAATCATCTCCATTGTCTGGTAAGACCTCAAGGTTTCCATAAAATATTCTGATCATTGTCGAGCCAAAAATGTCTGAAGAGGGTGAGTATCCTCTAATGGCCATGGGAACCTTCACTGTGAAACCACACCAAGATGTGAACAGAAAAAGACATCATGGAATGGTCATAGCCACCCACTGTGATGATTTACACTAAGTTACATTACTCAGATACAATACTTAAGTACAATACTTAAGGTACATACCGCTTATGCACATCAGATACACTGTATGAAGATAGCCTAGGCAGACCATTCTTATCATGGTCATGAACAATACTTTCTGGAATACCCTCGATTGAAGGAAATGCCCCTGAAAAATAAATGTAACATTAAAGATGTATTATTTCAAACCGCATCCTACTGTCTACCTTTAAGAAAACATTAATTCACCTTAACATTCTTATAAAGATAGAACAGGAAGTTCACATTACTCAGAGACTTTCAGTCCTACTGACCCAATCATATTTTGTCAAAAAATGATAATGAAATGACAGCACAATATTTGATGAATAGTAGCCAAAACAGGACTATGGTCTGTGGTCTGATTAGTAATGAACACTACAGGAATAGTGTCATTTAAAACTGATTGTGTGCTAAAAGTAAAGTCTGTATTGAAAAAAAAAAAAAAAAAATCCCCCCTGCAGGTTAATGTCATATTGTATTAGTATGCTACCACATTATGACAGACTTGCCTATAAAGCGGATCCTTCTAGAGGCATACTGTCACTGCTGACAGGCATTGCATCTTCACCCAGTCTTCCTTCCGGGTTCACTGGCTTCAGCCGCGATGATGTCACTCCCATGCACACACACGGGAGTCACGGTTGTGGCACAGCAGTCTGAATGGATGGTATACTAAAATGCCCTGTCCATTTAGAATGCAGTGAGCATGCCCTGCTGACATCACTGGCTGCTACAGATGTAAATAAAATATCTCCTAAACCGTATACAGTTAGGAGATTTTCACTGTATCTACAGGTAATCCTTATAGTAAAGTGGAAAAAAAAAAAGGCTTTACTACGGCTTGTAGGATACATTTGGAATTGGAAGGGGTTTTGGAAAGACTGCCCTTGTTCTCCTATGAATGTGCCTTTACTGAAAACATAATATATTTCTGTAAGTTTGAAAACAAATATTACCATTTAAAACAATGAGAACTTTTTTCCACTGTGTATTTCCTACTTTGGGGGTTTGACAAAACAAGATTTTGTGCTTGTCGGAGACAAAGATTCGGTCCAGTACAAACTTGGAGATGATGGCGTGAGACAGGTTACCCAGTGATCCATTTCTGCACACAGTCTGTAACAGCTCAAGGCGCTCCTTGTGGATGAGATCAAGGTGTGTCACACTTTGCAGAGGCTCTGCAGATGACTGCAAGAAGAATCACAATGTCTGTTAATTTGTAAACCAGATCACATAACATCAAAGTAATTTACAGCAAAACTACAAGTCTTTTTCACTGCCATGAAATGTAAGATCACTTGGATTATGCAAATTATTAAAAATGAATGGGCTCAAATAGCACTGCACTGAATGGCATGTGAATTGCACATGAATGTGTTGTGGCTCCTGTGCGATTCATATCTGATTCATAGTGTGAACCTAGGCTTAATGTGCTTTCCATTAAGGCAGTCTATTCATTATGAATGGGCTGCCAATGCACCAGAAGGCACAAAAAAAAATACAAGCTGCAATTTTCCCAATGTGGGCCAGTGCTTAACTCCTGGCAATTGTATACAAAAAACACTCAAGTAGTTTTTTACTCATTAAATTCTGAAACGTACCAACTGTAATCGCCTGTACTGTAGCTCTCAAATAGCAATCAAGATAAGTAGCACTCACAGCTAATTCAGCTCTTGAGCGTGCACATGTACTAAACAGAAGGAAAAAAAGAAGGGAAGGCAACCTCGGCAATCTACTTATTGCCCAATCCAAGGCTGGGAGCTAGGAGGTGTACAGTGTAAAGCTTACTGCTTAACCACCAAAATATAGATATCCTGGGTGCAGGTGGGCATATGAGACCTCCCACATCTGCTACTCATGCACGTCCTCATGCACGTCCCTCGGACACAGCGCGTCACAGATTGGGGTAAAGGGCCAAAGAAATTCACAGTCACAGTGTCCCCAATCACCACCAATGAAATTGGTTCTGTACCATGTGATCACTGTGACAGATCACAGCAATCACACAGAAACTCTTGTTATTCCCTTCTTCAGCTGCCTGTACTGCATGGCCAGTGAACATGGTGTTTTTGCCGGGCAGAAATGTACCAGTAGGCTAGGCTTGCTTGGCTTATAAGAACAGGGTCTGCTATAGTGGACACTACACTAAGCTATGTTCCCTGACCACTTGTACAGAGGTGAGAATTACAATACACCGTCTTTGATACAATTGGTTGATTTTTGTGATACAGAAGATACCATGTCCTGTACATAAACAACCCAAAACACAACAGAATGTGTTTTGGGTTGTAATAAGTATGCTCATGCTGTGAGTGAGAAATATCTTATTACATTGACAACTTTGTGTAAAAAAATCATTTTCATTTTCTTTCCATATTTTGCAAAACTTATGGCAAAAAATGAAGCCTTCAGAAGATTTAACACGCCTCTTAAAATATACCTTGGGGTGTTAAATTTTAAAATGTGGTCATTAGGACTGTCCTGGTGTCCAAGGCCACCAAAAATGTGATAGGGATTCTGGAAAATAAATGCATTAATTTTTGGCCTTAGAAAGCCTGAAGGTGCCCCTCAATGTGGCTAGGCTCACATATATGGTTTTCCCTATACTCAGGAGTAGTGGCAAAATGTGTTCTGGGGTGTAGTTCTAAGTATGGTCATAGTGCATGTTAGGAATATCTTAACCGATTGTAAAAAATATTAATAATTTTCTTTTTTCAATTGCCATAAACATGTGGCAAGAAATTAAATCATAAGACTCACAATGCCTCTTAAAAAATACCATTGGGTATTTACTTTACAAAATGAGGTAATTTTATGGGTGTTTCTTACTGTCCTGGTGCTCCAGGGCCTCCAAAATATGATAGGTAGTCAGAAAATCACATGTGTAATTTATACTTCTTGCAAAGCCTGAAGGTGTTCCTTGGATTTTGGGTGCCTCTATATAGCTAGGCTCCTAAAAAGTCTCATACATCCCCATACTCAGGAGGAGTATCAGAATGTGTCTTGGGGTGTAATTGTATGCAACCCTATACTGTATGTTAGGAATATCGTATTCATGTACAACTTTGTGTAAAAAATACATTTTCATTTTCTTTCTGCAGTTTGAAATACATAATATTGCCAAAAATATTGGGACACCTGCCTTTACATGCACATGAACTAGTCTTAGTCCGTAGGGTTCAATATTGAATTGGCCCACCCTTTGCAGCTATAACAGCTTCAACTCTTCTAAGAAGGCAGTCCACAAGGTTTAGGAGTGTGTCTATGGGAATGTTTGACCATTCTTCCAGAAGCGCATTTGTGAGGTCATGCACGGATGTCAGACGACAAGGCATGGCTCACAGTCTCTGCTGTAGTTCATCCCAAAGGTGTTCTACTGGGTTGAGGTCAGGCCAGTCAAGTTCTTCTACACCAAACTCGCTCATCCATGTCTTTATGGACCTTGCTTTGTGCGCTGGTGCGCAGTCATGTTGGAACAGGAAGGGGCCATCCCCAAGCTGACCCCACAAGTTGGGAGTATACAATTGTCCAAAATGTCTTGGTATATGGATGCCTTAAGAGTTCCCTTCACTGGAACTAAGGGGCCAAGCCCAATCCCTGAAAAAACAACCCCACACCCATAATCCCTCCTTCACCACACTTTACACTTGGCACAATGCAGTCAGGCAAGTACAGTTATCCTGGAAACTACCATACCAAAACATGTCCATCGTATTGCAAGGGAAGCGTGATTAGTCACTCCAGAGAACACATTTCCACTGCTCTAGAGTCCAGGGGCGGGGTGCTTTACGCCATTGCATCTGACGTTTTGCATTGCACTTGGTGAAGTAAGGCATGGATGCAAGTGCTCAGCCTTGAAAACCCATTCCATGAAGCTCTCTACGCACTGCTGCTGTGCTAATCTGAAAGCCACATGAAGTTTGGAGGTCTTTAGCTATTGACTCTGCAGACAGTTGGCGACTTCTGCACACTAGGCACTTCAGCATGGACTGACCCTGCTCTGTCATTTTACATGACTTAGTTGTAGTTGTTCCCAGTTGCTTCCGCTTTGTTATAATACCACTAACAGTTGACTGTGGAATATTTAGTAGCAAGGAAATTTCACAGATGGACTTATTGTACAGGTGGCATGCTATTGCAGTACCACGCTTGAATTCACTAAACTCCTGGGAGTGACCCAGTCTTTCACAAATGTTTGTTGACGCAGTTTGCATGTCTAGGAGCTTGATTTTTTACACCCATGGCCATGGAGGTGGTTGGAACACCTGAACCCAATGATTTGGAGGGGTGTCCCAATACTTTTGGCAATATAGTGTATCTTGTGGCAGAAAAAAAAAAAAATGTAAAAAAAAAAAATCAAGACGCCTAATTCTTAAAAAAAAATAAATAAATAAATTACTTGGGGTGTTCACTCTGCAAAATGTGATGTGGTATTTTCTTAGGTGTTTTCTACTCTACTGGCATTGAAGGGCCTCAAAACGTGATAGGTAATCAAGAAATTAAATGGCTAATTTATGCTCATTTAAAACGCAAAAGGTGCAATTTAGAGTTTGGACCCAGAAAAATGTTGGGAGTGTATGCCTTGCAGAATGGGGTAATTTTGTGGGCGATTCTCCTGCTCTTCAGTGTCTCAAGAAAAGTACTAGGTAGTCAGGAAATCAGATGCATTATTTAGGCTCCTTGAAAGCCTGAAGCTGCTCTTTGGATTTTGGGCCCCTCTATGCATCTCAGCAATGAAAAAAATCTCACATGTGGTACTCGAGGGTTACACTCGAGTGATGCACTTTCATTTGGTATTAAGATTTGAGATGCAGGGGGATACGGAGTCTCCAGCAGCTGGAGGAGATTATTGTTGGAACAGGGAATTCATTATTATTATAGCCAGTACATCCGGGTTGATAAATTTTCATATATACCATCGTTTGTATATGCTATAATTTTCACACAGACTAAATAATATACATGATTTGTTTTTTATTTTACTAAAGAAATGTAACAATAAATTTTGGCATAAAGTTACGAAGAAAGAATTATTTGTAAAGTTTCATAACAGAAACTAAGAAAAACTATTTTCCAACTTTTTTGGCCTTTTTTCCTTTATATAGTAAAAAAAAACGTTGGGGATTAAATACCACCAAAGTAAGCTCTATCGGTCCTAAAATTCTATAAAATGAATTTGGCTACAGTGGTGCATTCCAAGTATGACAGTGGTTTAATATGTTGGTCTTCAAGTGCCTAAAGAGAAAGAAGTGAAATCACTGTTGTCACTGTTAAAACAACAATTAACCTCACTCTATAGACCCTTTGTTTTAATGTTCATGTGCTGCTGCAGCCATGATGAAGGAGGGGTGCTACAGCCCTCCAACACACGCTGGATATTTTCCCCATGTTGCTTTGATACAAAGTAAATACCTGTAAATCAATCCTCTTAGACTCTACTACTATTAGTGTGGCATTCTTGTTAGATTCGAAGCTCTTGAACTACTGTATATCCAGGATGACAAATTTAGAGTTCCCTGGATATTGAGAGCAGCCTAACCAGAGCCATGAAGCTTCATGGCATGGATTAGACTTTGAAATTATAGGATTGCAATATTGAATTATCTACCACCTAACATCCTTACTTCTCAAATGGCTGTTCTTTTCAAGGTCTGAATTCACAGATTCCTGCTGGAAAGAACTATGAAGAGCACCAGGAATGAAATAGAAAGATTTGTGGTCAAAATTCTACTTTATTTTAACACGTCCAGGGGCGGACTGACCATTTGGAAACTCGGGCACTGCCCGAGGGCCCGGGATCAGTAGGGGGCCCCATGAGATGCCCCTGGTACCTTTTTCATAGGCTTTTTTGAGTTTGGGCAAGGGCACAGGGGCCCCATGATCCCCTATTGCCCGGGGGCCCCATGAGTTGTCAGTCCGCCCCTGAACACGTCTATGCATGTTGGGGATTACAGAAAATGCTCCCTCCATCAGGGCATATGTTCCTATGCCCTTTTATTGCGATGCAGAATTTTATTTAAGTCATACATGGCGCAAGACGTTTTTCTGCTTGTTCACCTTTATCACTGAATTGATCCCCATAGTACTTCTAGCAAACAGATCAGCATGTGAGCTCGGGTAGATTTCACTCTATGTTTATGGTAAAACATTAAAATGAAGTCAAAACACTACAATGTACTGTTTAAGGATGTACAACACAGATATTTGCCTTCCGACTGTGTGCAAATGTTTACCATCCGGTTGTGTCATTTGTAAAGGCAAACCATCTGGCAGAAGATATGATCAGATTATGTCTGATCTTCTTTCATGAATAAGAGCCAAAGTCATGCCTCAAACCTGAACATATTGGCAAGTAACTAAAGATCTGCTGCAGTTGGTGACCTCTTAATGATTCCACATGTTCTCTTAAACCTCTGCACCGTCTGTGCGATGAGAAAAAACAGTTTGTTGCCCTCCTGCAGCATCTGAGTATATATGAAATCAGACATTAAACCCTGAGCACAGGGCAATCAAAACCTAGCATCTCCCCAGAGAATTCTTCAATGCAAAAAAAAACAAACATCAAATGACCAGCAGACAGCAATGGGCCATCTGATCATTCTGGCATTCTCTTTGTGCCACAGGAGCATGAAATCAAAGTCTGGCTTTTTACACTTTTAATCAACTGCATCAACGGTACAGTATTAGTTTTCATGTTCCTCACCTCACCCTTGTGAACAGGATATACAATCCACATTAAAAGTATTGATATTTGGTTTAGGCGGTTATACCCACAGCTTGAATACACTACCACAATTAACCAAATAGGGGAACCTGTGTACGCCTTCTGAGTATTCCTCCCATTGCTATTCCAATATGATAGGTGGTCTATTTGGCCAACATAAGAGATTTGGAGGGGTGGAAGAAGGTAAAGGTGGGCTTTTACTGTTTACAAACATAAATTCAGCTGCCCGTATCTTTGAATCTACTCTTCATTTTGACATGCACTCCCCATGTGCACGGGAGTCACATTGCAGCAACACGCAGAGCGGGGCATAAATGTGGTCTGAGTTGCTCATGCACATGCCCATAGGGTCTCTCCTGTTACAAAAACCCTGCCTGTTAGCGGATTTTAACGAAGACAGTAAAAAAATGTATTGCATTCTCTATATTAAAGGTAAAAAGCCTTCTATTGTTCGACCCCCCCCCCCCCCCCCCCCCCCAATACTTACTTGAGCCTGATCTCAATGCAGCGTTCTCTCCAGGAGCAGCAGCACTGCTCTTTCCCTCCCTCCCTCTTCACTGGACTCCGTGAGAGAAGCAGGCTCCTGCTGCTATTAATCAAATCCAGTAACGAGGGAGTTGGAGACTGAGCTGAGCCACACTGTGTGTGTCAATGGACACAGAGAGCATCGCTTGGGATCGAGCCCACATGTGTGCCACAATAGGAAACGGATTCCTATAGTTGCACACGGAGAAAAGGAGGAGCCCAGAGTGCTGACAGGGGACCCCAGAAGAGGAAGATCGGGGCTGCTCCATTGTACAGAGCAGGTAAGTAGGACACGTTTCTGACTTTATATGTTGTGACATTGAATTCGTAAGCTTGACAATGATTACTGAATGAGCGTAAGTGTGTGTGTGTGTCTACATGTGTGTGTGTGTCTACGTGTGTGTGTGTGTGTGTCTACCTTTACACACACATGGACTTTAATGGCATCCTAGTCTTAGTCCGTCGGGTTCAATACTGAACCCCCTTCAGTACATGCTGAAGCGCACAGTGAGCATAAGTCGCCAACTGTCTGCAGAGTCAATAGCTAAAGAACTTCAAACTTTGTGTGGCGTTTAGATTAGCACAACAGTGCGTAGAGAGCTTCATGGAATGGGTTTCCATGGCTGAGCAGCTGCATCCAAGCCTCGCATCACCAAGTGCAATGCAAAGCGTCAGATGCAGTGGTGTAAAGCACACCGCCACTGGACTCTAGAGCAGTGTTCTCTGGAATGACGAATCACGCTTCTCTGTCTGTCAATCCAATGTACATGTCTGGGTTTGGTGGTTGCCAGGAGAACGATACTTACCTGACTGTATTGCGCCAAAGTCAAAGTTCGGTGGAGGGGGGATTATAGTGTGGGGTTGTTTTTCAGGGGTTGGGCTTGGACCCTTAGTTCCAGTGAAGGGAACTCCTAAGGCGCCAGCATATCAAGACATTTTGGACAATTTCATGCTCCCAACTTTGTGGGAGCAGACTGGGGATGGCCCCTTCCTGGTCCAACATGACTGCACACCAGTGCACAAAGCAAGGTCCATAAAGACATGAATGAGCAAATCTGGGGTGGAGGAACTTGACTGGCCTGCAGAGTCCTGACCTCAACCCGATAGAATTAGATGATGGGATGAATTAGCACAGACTACGAGCCAGGCCTTCGCATCCGACATCAGAGCCTGACCTCACAAATGGGCTTCTGGAAGAACGGTCAAACATTCCCATAGACACACTCCTAAACCCTGTGGACAGCCTTCCCAGAAGAGTTTAAGCTGTTATAGTACAAAGGGTGGGCCAACTCAATATTGAACCCTACGGAATAAGACTGGGATGGCATTAAAGTTCATGTGCGTGTACAGGCAGGCTTCCAAATACTTTTGGTAATATAGTGTATTTGAAACTGTGGAAAGAAAATGAAAAGAAAAAGTGTGTGTGTGTTTTTATATATAGACACACACAGTTAGGTCCATATATATTTAGACACAGGCACAATTTTAGTTTTCTTCAGGTATTTACCAAAACATATTCAAGCTACAGTTATATAATGGATATAGGCTGAAAGTGCACACTCAGGTTTAATTTGAGGGTATGTACATCATAATTAGAGGAAAGGTTTAGGAATTACAGCTGCTAAGAGTAGCCACCCCCCCTTATCCAAGGGACCAAAAGTAATTGGACAATTGAATCAAAAGCGGTTTCATGGCCAGGTGTGGGCTACTCCTTCATTACTTCTTCATCAATTAGGCAGGTAAAAGGTCTGGAGTTGATTCTAAGTGTGGTATTTACATTTGGAATCTATTGCTGTGAACCTACATCAGGTGTTCAAAGGAGTTGTCCATGCAAGTGAAACAGGCCATTGTAAGGCTTCAAAAACTAAACAAATCCATCAGAGAGATAGCAGCAACATTAGGAGTGTCCAAATCAACAGTTTGACAGTCTGAGGCAAGAAAAACGCACTGGTGAGCTCAGCAACATAAAAAGGCATGGATGTTCATAGAAGAGAAATGTGGTGGATGAACGCAGAATCCTCTCTATGGTAAATAAAAACCCATTTACAACATCCAGACAAGTGAAGGACACTCTCCAGGAGGGGGGTGTATCATTGTCAAAGTCTAAAATCAAGAGAAGACTTTACAAGAGCAAATACAGAGGGTCACCACAAGGTGCAAACCATTCATAAGCCTGAAGAATAGAAAAGCCAGATTAGACTTTGCCAAAAAAACATCTACAAAAACCAGACCAGTTCTGGAAAAGAATTCTTTGGACGGATGAAACTAAGATTAATCTGTAGCAGAATGATGGGAAGAAAAAAGTGTGAAGAAGGCTTGGAACAGCTCATGATCCAAAGCACACAACCTCATCTGTAAAACATGGTGGAGGCAGTGTGATGGCATGGGCATGCATGGCTTCTAGTAGCACTGGGTCATTGGTGTTTATTGATGTTGTGACAGAAGCTGCCAGATGAATTCTGCAGTGTTTCGAGATATACGTCAGCCCAAATTCAGCAAAGTTGATTGGATGGTGCTTCACAGTACAGATAGACAATGATCCAAAACACACTGCAAAAGCAACCCAGGAGCTTTTGAAGGAAAAGAAGTGGAATATTCTGCAATGGCCGAGTCAATCACCTGATCTCAACCCAATTGAGCATGCATTTCACTTGCTGAAGGCAAAACTACAGACAGAGAGACCCACAAACAAAGAACAACTGAGGACAGCTGCATTTAGAGCCTGGCAAAACATCAGAAAGGAGGAAACCCAGTCTCTGGTAATGTCCATGGGTTCCAGACTTCCGACAGTCATTGCCAGTAAAGGATTCTCAACAAAATATTAAAAAATGAACATTTTATTTATGATTATATTCATTTGTCCAATTACATTTGAGCCCCTGAAAATGGAGGGACTGTGTAAAAAAATGGTTGCAGTTTCTAAAATTTGTGCTTGATATTGATGTTCAACCCCTTGAATTAAAGCTGAAAGTCTGCACTTCACGTTCATTTGGATTGTTTCGTTTTAATTTATTCTGATGGCATACAGAGGCAAAAGTATGAAAATTGTGCCGGTGTCCAAATATATATGGACCTAACTGTATATACATACATATATAGTTCTAAAACAATTGGGGGCAAAGTAGAATTCTTCCAACATTTACTCAGCATTAGAAAAACAAAGCATAGTCTTTTATTATTTTTTTTTTTAAACAGGACTCAAACATGAAAACAAACACCAATTTTTGTATCCAGATGGCTTATGACACTGACAGCAATTTCAGTGCCAGGAAACGACCCACGTGACATTGTTTAAAAAATGCCTCACATAATAACCTGCTCACATAATGAAAACTCATTCATACTTGTTGAAATGGGAAATTAGTTGTGTCTATGAGGTCCAAAATATCAAACTTTTAGATTTTACTTTTTCTTTTTCTTTTTTCACTTTGAGGACTAATGCACACATACCTGACTCTCAATCTGTAATTTCTTTGTCCCGGTAACAGTTGTTTTCTCAACTTCTGGTAAAATAGTTTGCAACCCTTGTCTGACTCCATAACCTTGGCAACACGTGTGAAAGCAAACAAAAAAAAAAAGATACATGAAATACAAAATTTTGCACATGTAAGCACAAATAAATACAGCACCGTGACATGCTGAAAGGTTAAAAAAATAACTCTACAGTTTAAGGGCCAATTACACTGATGTGCGCTAAATTGTATAGAAAATGGATGTACATTTCCATCCATTTTAGTCACGTGCGGACATCCGTTGACATATATTTTGACATCCGTTGACGTCCATTTTTGACATCTACTGACATGCATTTTAACATGTGTGTTAAAGCGTACTGCATTTTCACGGAATTTCTTTTGTGCATTGTGTTGACATCCGCTTAAATCCATTGTGCTGCATTGCATTTTAGCATAACGTAGGTCAACGCAGCATTATGGTGTAAATAGGACACATTGCAATTAATGATTGTTTTTCAGATGTCCGTTGATCTTCATTTTACAGCTGCGCTAAAAATGCAGATCAATGCACTAATGTGAATTGGCCCTAAAGTGGCACTATGGGGGGAGATTTACTAAAACTAGTGCAGAAAGAATCTGGTGCAGCTGTACATAGTAACCAATCGGCTTCAAGGTTTTATTATCAAAAGCTTAACTGAACAGGCTGAAGTTAACAGCCGATTGGTTATTATGCACAGTTGCACCAGATTCTGACAGCACCAGTTTTAGTAAATCTCCCCCTAAGAGTACATTCGCAAGGGCATTCTGCCATAGTGCAAATCCCAGCAACAGGAATCTACAGATTCTTACTGCAGGGTTTGACAGCTGCCTGTACACCTTAAGGCAGCAGCTATTTGTGACTGTTTGCTCAGCCAGCGATCATCTGCTGTGATCGCAGCTGGACACACTTGGTGCACATCCATCTGTGATCACCGCAGGCAACTGCTGACTGTGGAAACAAGTATGAGCAGCTTGAGCCGCCGATAGTCTGTCATCACAGTGTACAGGATTTGCAACCACAGCTACTTGCTCGCAGCTATCAGAATCCTGCTGCTGGGATTTGTACCATGGAAAACCAGCTGTGCAAATGTACCCCAAATTAAAACCTTATTCCCCAAAAAATAAATCCATACACATCCATAATTAATGGCCCATAATCTTTTTTTAATGAAGAAAAAAAAAAAAAGATATGACATACTCTATCATAAAAACCCTACCTGTCAGGTACATTTTTTTTTGTTTAACTCCACTTTAAGAATACATACTTGGTTATACCAACATCTACGTTACATTCACACATTTATTACTAACGAAGGCAGTGAAAAGAACAAAAAAAAAAAAAAAAAAAAAAAAAAAAAAAAAAAAGCTATACCATTAAACCAGATTTCTGGAACCACATCACTGGAGTACAGAAGAGGAGGAAGTGGATCCTCTGTCAAGTAACTGATTATTAAAGTGTTACTAAACCCAGGACCCTGCATTCAGCATATCTGGTCTCCCACAGTACACACAACATGGAAATGCAATTATTTTACTAAATATAAACTGATAAATACCTTTTCTCATCAGCAGTTAGAGCAGTCTTGTGATTTCAGCAGAGCACTGGTTAAAGCTTGTAGTTTTCTCTTTCTGCTCTATGAGGATGTGAAACCTCAAATCTTCTGTCTAGACCAGGGGTGGGCAAACTTTTTGACTTGAGGGCCGCAATGGGTTTATATATTGGACCCGGGGGCCGGACCAAGAGTAGATGAATGATGTGTATGTGTCATCCATAGTAAGTATAGTAATATTCCCCCATAGTAGGCATAGTAATTAATCCCCCATATAGTAATTCATCCCCCATATAGTAATTCATCCCCCCATATAGTAATTCACCCCCCCATAGTAATTCATCCCCCCTATAGTAATTCATCCCCCCTATAGTAATTCATTCCCCATATTAATTCATCCCCCATATTAAGTCCACAAGTTCCCCCTGTGTCAATTCACTTACCTTTGCTCCGCGCGTTCCTCTCGCCGTGTTCCCGCGCCGTTCCGGTGTAGCATGAAAATCTGTCTCCTATGAGGATCTGCCGACGTATCTGCGCATGTGCCAGTTTCAGGCATTAGCAGCCGATCGGCGATCTCCGGCACATGCGCAGATACGTCGAGGGGGACAGATCCTCATAGCTCCTCGGGCCGGATTAAAAGGTCCGCCGGGCCGTAGTTTGCCCATTGCTGGTCTAGACAGTGCCGATTGGCCCTTTGCTGACCACATGCACCCTCCCAAGGAAAAAAAAAAAACCTCTCTAGCAATACACACCAAACTGAGCATGTGCACGATCAATCTGTATCAGGTGGACATTTCAACAAGAGTAGGGGCAGAGAAGAAAGGATCAAACAGCCTTTTTACACAATGCAGAGGATTAACCCCTTAGGTTCCACATGAGTATAACAATCATGCTTTACTGCATATACAGACTGATTGTACTGTTGTGGGTTTAGTAACACTTTAACATCAGGAAAAAAAAAAGTATATATTAGGGAAACAGGGTGATGGGACTGCAGGAGTTAAAGTACTATTTAACCACTTGCCATCCTGAGGATTTACCCCCCTTAATGACCAGGCTTCTTTTTGCTATTTGGCACAGCACTATTTCAACTGATAATTGCGCGGTCATGCAATGCTGTACCCAAACAAAATTTACATCCTTTTTTCACACAAATAGAGATTTCTTTCGGTGGTATTTGATCACTTGTGCGCTTTTTATTTTTTGTGCTATAAACAAAAAAAAAAAAAAAAGACCAAAAGTTTTGAAGAAAAACGATAATTTTTTTACTTTTGGCTATAAAAAAATATATAGTAAACTCAAAGCTAATCATAAATTTAAGCCAAAATGTATTCTGCTCCATGTTTTTGTAAAAAAATCCCAATAAGTGTATATTGATTGCTTTGTGTGAAAGTTATAGCGTCTACAAACTATGGTATAGATACTGCAATTTACGCCATTTTTTTGCTATACACCACTGCATTAGTTTAACTGACAATTGTGCGGTCATGCAATACGGTACATAAATTAAATTTATGTCCTTTTTTTCACACAAATAGAGCTTCCTTTCAGTAGTATTTGATCACCTGTGCACTTTTTAGTTTTGGCACTATAAACAAAAAAAGGTTTGAAAAAAAAAAAACCTGATATTTTCTCATTTCTGTCATAAAAAAATATCCAAAAAACTCAAATTTAGGCCAAAATGTATTCTGCTACATGTTTTTGGTTAAAAAAAATCCCAATAAGTGTAGATTGATTGCTTTGTGTGAAAGTGATAGCATCTACAAACTATGGTATAGATAATGGAATTTACACAGCTTTTACTTTCTAACTGCCCATCATATTTCTTGAGGTGCTAAAGTACCAGGACAGTACAAACACCCCCAAATGACCCCTTTTCGGAAAGTAGACACCCAAGCCATCTGCTGAGAGGCATATTGAGTCCATGGAAGATTTATTTTTTCCACAAGTTTTTGAAAATTACAAAAAGTTTCTTTTTTTTTTTTTTTTATATATACACAAAATTGTCAGTTAAATGATATATTGCTCACAAAAGTCATGGGTATATATGTGGAATTACACCCCAAAATACATTCTGCTACTTCTAATGAGTTTGGGGATACCACATGTGTGAAACTTTTTGGGAGCCTAGCCATATACAGGAGCCTGAAATCCAATGACCACTTTGAAAATCTGAAGGTGCGAAACTAACTCATTTCACTTCCTCACTACCTATCACAGTTTTGGAGGCCCTGAAATGCCAGGATAGCACCAAATCCCCCCCCCCCCCCACATGACCCCTTTTTGGAAAGTAGACACCCCAAGAAAGTTGTTTTCTTTCTTCATTTTCAAAAACTTGGGGCAACAAACGAGATCTGCAAAAACATTGCTTCTTATCAAATTCCTTGGGGTGTCTAGTGTAATGAGGAAATAAAGCCCTTTAAAAGCCTGAAGGTGCTTATTGGAGTTAAAGGTGATGACTGGTGTACTGACAGGCAATCTGACGCTATCTGAGAGGGGCGTGAAAACCACTTCAGCGCGAATCACATATATAGGTGATTTTTTTTGCACCCGTTCCGCCTTGTACCAGTATTTCTGCTATAGGGCAGTCAGGAAGCAGTTTAAGAAGCGGTTTGTGTTACGACGCTGCGTTACTTTAACTGACAATTACGTGGTAATACAGCGCTGCACCCAAATTAAATTTACAGGCTTTTATTTTCCGACGAATTGAGCTTTCCTTCAGTGGTATTTTATTGCCTGTGAGTTTTATATTTTTAGTGCTATTAAAAGAAAAAAAAAAAAAAAAAAGGGCCGACAACTTTGAGAAAAAAAAAACAAAAACAGAATTTTGGACGTTTTGCCATTAAACATGTCCAGTAAAAAAAAATGTCAAAATCAAATTTTGTCAAATTTAGGCCAAAATGTATTCTGAGACATGTCTTTCTAAAAAAAAAAAATCCCAATACATGTAAATTAATTGGTATATGTGAAAGTTATAGCGTTTACAAATGGTGGTATAGATACTGGATTTTTGTTTTTAATTTTTATGTTTAAAAGCAGAACTTGACTTATTTTGATCCTTATGCTGCTAGCAATAGCATACTGTTCCTTGAAAAAGTATTCATACCCCTTTCCACATTTTATCATGTTACAACCAAAAGAGAAAATGTATTTTATGTGATAGACCAACACAAAGTGGCACATAGTTGTGATGTGGAAGAAGGAAAATGATAAATGGTTTTCAACATTTTTTACAAATAAATATCTGAAAAAGTATGGTGTGCATATGTATTCAGCCCTTGGGTCAATACTTTGTAGAACCACCTTTTGCAGCAATTACAGCTGTAAGTCTTTTTGGGGATGTCTCTACAAGCTTTGCACATCTAGAGTGACATTTTTGCCCATTCTTCTTTGCAAAATAGCTTAAGCTCTGTCAGATTGGATGGAGAGCGTCTGTGAACAGCAATTTTCAAGTCTTGCCACAGATTATGAATTGGATTTAGGTCTGGACTTTGACTGGGCCATTCTAACTCATGAACATGCTTTGCTCTAAACCATTCCATTGTAGCTGTATTTTTAGGGTTGTTGTCCTGCCGGAAGGTGAACCTTCACTCCAGTCTCAAGTCTTTTGCAGACTTGAACATGCTTTCTTCTACGATTACCCTGTATTTGGATCCATCATTCTTCCCATCAATTCTGACCAGCTTCCCTGTCTCTTTGCTGCCACCACGTTTCACGGTGGGGATGGTATGTTCAGGGTGATGTGCAGAGTGAGTTTTCCAACACACATAGCGTTTTTGTTTTTAGGCCAAAAAGTTACATTTTGATCTCATCTGACCAGAACACCTTCTTCCACATGTTTGATGTGTCCCCCACATGGCTGCTCACAAACTGCAAATAGGACTTCTTCTGGCTTTCTTTCAACAATGGCTTTCTTCTTGCCACTCTTTCATAAAGGCCAGAATTGTGGAGTGCACAACTAATAGTTGTCCTGTGGACAGATTCTCCCACCTGAGCTGTGGATATCTGCAGCTCCCCCAAAGTTAACATGGGCCTCTTGGCTGCTTCTCTGATTAATGCTCTCCTTGCCCAGCCTGTTAGGTGGAAGGCCATGTCTTGGTAGGTATGCAATTGTGCCATACTATTTCCATTTTTGGATGATGGATTGAACAGTGCTCTGTGAGATGTTTGAAAGCTTGGGGTAATTTTTTTTTTTTTTTTTATAACCACCCCGCTTTAAACTTCTCCACAACTTTATCCCAGACCTGTCTGGTGTGTTCCTTGGCCTTCATGATGCGGTTTGCTCACTAATGTTCTCTAACAAACCTCTGAGGGCTTCTTAGAACAGCTGTATTTATACTGAGATTAAATTACACACAGGTGGACTCTATTTACTAATTAGGTGACTTCTGAAGGCAATCGGTTCCATTAGATTTTAGTTAGGGGTTTTAGAGTAAAGAGGGCTGATTACAAATGCATGCCACACTTTTCAGATATTTATTTGTAAAAAAATTTGAAAACCATTTATTATTTTACTTCCACTTCACAATTATGTACCGCTTTGTGTTGGTCTATCACAAAAAATCCCAATAAAATACATTTTGGTTGTAACATGACAAAATGTGGAACATTTCAAAGGGTATGAATACTTTTTCAAGGCACTGTAGGAAAGTAAACCATATTTACTTATTTCAAACTTTTTTTTTACCTTTCTTCAGTTACTTACCAATTTCCATGCCTAGGCAATTAATGTCATATATCCCAGTAATCTTCAGGAGGGGAGGAGAGGTTTTTTTCAGCTATGCACACCCTCTTGTCTGAGCTAGGGGCAGATGGATTTCAGGAAGTAAATGCTACATGAACCATTTGCCCTTACTCAAGATGGTCATGGCCAGACATGCTAAGGGGTGTTTTTCTAAGTGATTTCCCAGCAAAAAAAATAGCAAGGAGACTTGGATGGATGGGTGAGCTTTCATTAAATATTAAAAATGAATTAAGAATCATTCTTCATTTGTGGAGCTCAGATGCACTGCATTTCCACTTTAAGTGTTAGTTTACCTTTACAGAAAATATGTAAAAGGTGAACACTGTACACCTTTCTCGGTCCCTGCTGTACTTACCTCCAGGGATGCTGAGCTGTCACAGTGCCCACGCAGCTGATATAATGGTCTGAATATTTGAAATACCTGCTCATCTCCCCCTTCAGGGCAGATGTTTGTAAGAATTTCTCACTGGATTTTAAACAAAGTGATGTGATCAGGACATGCACTTATTTCCTACCCTCTGGGCTTTTCATTGTCAGGGTGATAAACTTGCTGGCAACCATCAACATGAACAGGACCCAGAAGCATGCAAGGAGTAGTAGCCAACGATGGTGCATGATGTCAAACACCAGCCATAAATCTTCTACAGCGTCCTGCAAAACAAAAGTATGAAATATTTTAAAGCAAATGTTCAGTAGAAAAAAAAAAACACACGTATGGCTGTCATAATAAGAATCCAGGGATAGGAGTATGTTTGGGTAGTGGTGTCAGAAAACTGATAGCTGTTGAATTCCAAACACTGCACATCTGTTGTCCGAGATTCTTCAAATATCTGTGATTGCAGCAAAAGGTCAGCTTTTCCACCTGATTCAGAGACACAGTCGAACAACATGCTTACCAAATGGTAATACAACATTCCCTTTAGATTTCCATAAACATATCCACTTTAATTACTGGCAAAGTACTGATGACCCAAAGTTACACATTGGACCAGCTATATATATAGTGAACCATCTGATTTGGTTTTCTTGCAAAATCCAGAAACATTCTGCTAGGTTTACTTGTTTAAATTGCCCGTAGTGTCCGAGAGAGTCTTTGAACCCAATCATACCTGTCTGGTCTGTTAACATGTTTTGTTATGCAATGTTCATTGAGTTAAATTGTTCATTATTGTGAACAGCACCACAAGAGACCTGAAAATGGACCAGTTATATTTTTCTGGATGCATTATACTACAATGAACAATACACTACAGTGTGCCGCAAAGTGGGTGCATTCCTTTAGTGCACTGGTGTGCTATTAAAAATGAATGGCACCACAAAGCACTAACACAGACATGGTGTGGTACCGCAATGTCTAGGTGTGAATCCAGGCTTAAGGACATTAGTCTGTGAGGGCCATTAGACTGATGTAAATAAATTAACACGTCAAAACACTGTATTAAAATATATTGTTATGAAGGAGTATGGCTGCTTCTTTATTAGGTCAGCAGAGAAATAAAATAGATCAGAGTTAAACAGAGAGCAGAAGGAGGAAAGTTAGGTCCACTCTTCTAGCTGTACAGCGTACATAAACTGTATATTAAATATTAGCAGCTGCTTTAAAGTGTTAATAAACTCAGAAATGTAAGTGTATTTAACCACCTGAGTATAAGTGTATTTAACTACTGAGTTTAATACATTTATTAAATGATGTAACTCAGAAACCATGTAGATACATAGATAGGGTATGCGATTTCCAAATAGTCTCAGTGACAATATTGATCTGCTACAATAAACTGATAAACCTAGACTAAGGCTACTTTCACACTGATCGGCCGCAAAAACGCATAGGCATTTTTACTGCACTTTTGCCATGCTTTCTGAGCGTTTTAAAGGACACGTGACTTAAAAACTGCACCAAAACACTTCTCAGAGGCGTTTTAGAGGTGCTTTTCAGGCGTTTTCCATTGATTTCAACAGGAAGAGGTGTTTTTTTTTTTTTTTTTTTTAACTCACCAAACATGCCCCAAAGATGCTGCAAAGATGCTACAAGTGTAACGCCTCAGTGTGAAAACATACATAGATATACATTAACATACATAGGGAAGCGTTTTTTCTGGAGTTTTTCAGGCGCTTTTTTTAAAGCAAAAACGCTTCAAAAACTCCTCAGTGTGAAAGTAGCCTAAGCACTAATGTCAACCTTCAGACTTCATTCCAATATATATTTTGATAAGTGTGCCATTATAGTACACTATAATAGTAATTAGGGTTAACGGAAACGGTGCCGATACTAAGCATTAGCACAATTACTTGTACTTTTGTAAATGCTCCGATACCTGAAACCGATCCCTTGCGATTTGAACCCATACAAAATGAATGCGGTGCGATTCCTGTCTGAAATCACATGTGGTTTCTCTGTGAGTGCGGTGCGATTTGAGCCATTCATTTTGTGCTGCAACGCATTCCTGTTCAAGTCACATGGTTCTTTGCAGTGCGATTTGAACCCATTCATTTTGTATGGGCTTAAATGGCACTGCAAAGGTATCGTTAATCAGTATCGGCCAGTAATTTAGCACAAGTATCAGTGCTTGTCGATAAAATAACAGTATCGGTGCAACCCTAATAGTAATGTTATTTGTATTCAACCCTATTACGTGTTAAGGATATAAAATGAAAAAAATATTATTAATGACAATTTAGAAACCAAAGTAAATAATTTATAACAGATATGTAATTTTAATAGTTACAGTTGTGCTCAAAAGTTTACATACCCTGGCAGAAATCACACAAGGTGACACACACGGGTTAAAATGGAAAAGGTTAATTCAACACATCTGTGGCTTTTTAAATTGCAATTAGTGTCAGTGTATAAATAGTCAATGAGTTTGTTAGCTCTCACATGGGCTTGATTCTGAGCCATGGGGAGAAAAAAAAACTGTCAAAAGGCCTGTGTAACAAGGTAATGGAACTTTATAAAGATGGAGAAGGCTATAAAAAGGTATCCAAAGCCTTGAATGTGCCAGTTAGTACTTATTAAGTGGAAAATTCAGGTATCTCTTGATACCAAGCCAAAGTGAGGTAGACCAAGAATGATTGCAGCCACAACTGCAAGAAGAATTGTTCAGGATATAAAGAAAAACCCATTGGTAAAGTCAGGAGAAATACAGGCTGCTATGGAAAAGGACAGTGGGGTTGTTTCAAGGAGCACAATACGACCATATTTGAACATAAATGAGCTGCGTAGTTGAGTTGCCAGAAAGAAATCTTTACTGTGCCAATGCTACAAAAAAGCCCGGTTACAAAATGCTCAACACCACTTTGACATTCCTCATAGCTTCTGGCACACTGTAATCTGGAGTGACGAGACCAAAACAGACATTTATGGTCAGAACCATAAGCGCTATGTTTGGAGAGGGGTCAATAGTGACAAGAATACCATCCTCACTGTGAAGCACGGTAGTGGCTCACTGAGGTTTTGGGGGGGGTGTGAGCTCTAAAGGCACAGGGAATCTTGTTAAAATCGATGACAAGATCATTTGCATTCTTCTACACGAAAGCTGTACATCAGATGCTCTTGGACATTCCAGCATGACAATGACCCCAAGCACAAGCCCGAGTTGACCCTCCAGTGGTTACAGCAGAAAAAGGTGAAGGTTCTGGAGTGGCCATCACAATCTCCTGACCTTAATATCATCGAGACACTCTGGGGAGATCTCAAATGTATGGTTCATGCAAGGCGACCAAACACTTTGCATAACCTGGAGGCATTTTGCCAAGACTACTGGGAAGCTATACCACCTGCAAGAATTTGGGGCCTCAAACAATTGTTACAAAAGACTGCAAGCTGTCTACAAGTACAGTCGTATTGTAATTGGAGGTTAATAAAAAAATGACCTTTCCAATCTGCAGCACTGTAATTTTCCATAAAATTCAAAGCAATATGGCTTCCTGTAGACATTCTGTACACAGATGGTGTACAGAACAGCCCCCAGAAATGTAATTTCCTGCTTGTGTGATTGGCTTACTGATTTTCCCAGAAGTCTGCATTTAGCCCTGGTTCACACCAGATCTGACTTTGAACTCGTGCGACTACAAGTGAAGTCTTCAATTTCAAGCTGCATGTCAGTGTGCCTTCAGGTGCGACTTAGAAGACATCTGTGCGACTTCATGCACGGATGTCCATGCAAGTCGCACCTGAAGTCGCAAAAAGTAGTCCAGGACCTACTTTCAAAAATCGGTGCGACTCCAACAGAATCAGTTGCACCGATTTGAATGGTTCCATTGCAGACAATAAGGTGCGACTTGTAATGTGATTTGAAACTGTCAAATCACATGACAAGTCAAACCAGTGTGAACCAGGGCTAAGATACAAATCAGATTGTGAGCATCCCCTCCAACAAAAATGTCATTTTTGGTGACATCCCCCCCTAAAAAATCATGTCTAAAGGAATGCAGAACTGCCAATTTGTGCATTAGAGCCCTGCAGGAGCAGCAGCTGATTGATAATTATGAAATCACTCCCTCCCATACATATTCACTCTACACATGGACACAAACAGCTATTTCTTCAGTATAACAAAAAGGTAGTAATGTGCAACAAAGTTTGTTAAAATCCTTGAAATGTACGTAGATCACCCAGAAGGGGAAGGTTTTTTTCTCAATAAAAGTGGAGTTACTATTTCATGATTAAAGACAAGTACACCAAACCTAGCCTCTTTTATACCACTGCATTTTGCTGACGTAGCACAGTTAAAACTTTTATGGACCATTTTGTTGACATAGCACAGTAAAAACTTTTATGAACGGATTTTACGGACTTTACCAAAGCATACGTATGTCTTAAATGGTTTTATGATTCACTAGGGTTTTACAGACCATTAATGAAGTACCTATCCCTCAGGCATACCTCTTTACAAAGAATTAAAAAAGAGGGGCTTCAGTCTTTTTTTTTTTTTTAATAAAAAAAGTCAGCAGCTAGAAATCCTATAGCTGCTGACATTTAAAAATATTACCAGGGTCTAGTCATGCCTTCTGACCATGGATGTGGGATACACCTCTTTAGAGATTTTTTTTTTTTCAACACAACAATAATGACTAAAAGCTGTTTGTCTGATCTCTACTTTAAAAGAACTAATTACTAATTATTACGATTACTACATTTTACAATAATCTGAATCCATACTCTTCAGCTGTTCTCAGCAATGCAGTAATCATTTTTTATTGTTGTTCTCTCTCCCTCAGAACAGACGTACCAATCTAAGGCAGACCATACATTATTATTAACCAGCGGGTTGTACGAAAAAAAAATTACCTAATTCCCCCATCCACACATTCTATGTGAATGTGGGAATCCTTCCCACCGAGTCCTTGTATTCTGACAGCGGAGACTTCCCCACCATCAGAATATACTGATCAGTGCTACTGGCTATAGCTGGTGATACTGATCGATTAGGAAAAACCCAAAAGACAGGTTTTACAGAGGTCAGTCAGTAGATTCTGTACAACCAGCCTGCTCATAAATGGATGGAAGTCGGCTGGTTCCTGTTGGACCAGCTGAATTTTCATCCATGCATGGCTGTCTTAAAGTGACATTAAAGCTTTTTTTTTTTTTTTTTTAATTAAAATTATGTCGTACTTACCTGCTCCGTGCAATGGTTTTGCACAGAGCAGCC